CGCTCAGCAGCCCCACCCCTGAGCAGGTCAGCCTGGTATGCTTGTAACACCACCATGGTGTGCAAACATGCGCCAGCCTGACCTACCGCCGTATAAGCTTTCCCAACCAGACTCGATGTAAGCCTAACGGGCCTGGTGGGAAGCTTCAGGGCCTTCAGGGACGATGCTGAGGATGGAGAGAGATAGCTCGCAAGCGTCTGCTCCACCACTGGCATCGCCCCATATCCCTTATCATTCAGCCCCACAATGTTCTTTTGAATAATTCGAGACTGTGGCTGTAATACGGGATGATTACAGTTTCTCCCACGATCTTGCCACCTCAGCAAGTGGGACTGTGGTGGCGAGTCCACAGTCTCCTCTGTCTCGACACTCATCACATCCACCTCCTCGGAGGAAGATAGATGAAGTGTCTGGCTCTCTCTAGCGGATCTAGCGGGTGAGGACCGAGAAAAGGACGAGCCGGTCTCGGATCCCTCCGCTAAATCCACCCGCGATCCCCACGACAACAGTCTGCGCTGTGCCTCGGCAACAGCGGGACCGCTGCCAGCGGGATCGCGAGCCTGGCCGCTCTCATCAAACACAGCCAGGCGAGAGCGGAGCATACGCAGCGAGAGTAATTGCAGTGATGACAATCAGCTCCTCGAAAGCTGACCGTGCATGCTCCGCTCCCAAACAAACGACACACAAATCGTGTGTATCCCCCACCGCCAGATATCGTGGGCAGGGAGGAACACAGCGTTTGTAATGCCATTCGCTCGCCATATACTTTTTCATGATTGTTTTTTTTATATATGCTTGTGCGGACAGACAACAGTAAATAGATAGACACATACACAGAGCGCTACTGAAGAGCAGAAGCTGGTTTGCGCTCTGTTGGATGCACTTTTATACTTTCTGGTGCTTACGTCACCCCGCTCGTGACGTCTCGCTGCTCCATTGGACTGATTTGACACATGCTTCAGAACGCGGTCACGCAAGGGCATTCCCAAAGCGACTCGATGCAGCTCGAGTTCCTGAAGGGGAAACATAATGGAGCAGATGTTAAAGTGAACACCTGCTGGACAATTTCTTGCTCCGTTTGATACCGCTTGCTGACACAGGGCATTCATTTACAGTCGAAATTCAAACCTAACCCAACAAGGATTTGTTAGCTTTCACTGACATATCAATTTTGGAATGAATATGAACAGTCGGGGTTGTGTGCACTGCACAAAAAGAAAGTCATCATGAAAAATGGCACTCTGTTTTGAATTACTTTTTGAACATGAAATAATGTTGACTAATACTGAAAGGTATTCTGTGCAAGCTAGTTGTTAGTGACATCAGACTGTCTTTTTCCTTTCACCTGCTGCCATCTCTGTGTGCTTGAATAAATTTGTATCATTTGTAATCTGTAACACTATATTTTCAGTCTAATTCTTTCCATTCTTGACCCCATTCTTGTGCGCAAGTGAATTTCTGTGCAGGTTAAATGCAGGTTTGTGATCAAAGGCTGCACTTTTGGACTCATCACTTAAACCTGCTAATTTTTTTGTAATTGAAGGTCTTCAGTTAAAGCATCATGGGAAATTCCCCATGCCTCAGGCAGTGATGAAGGAGCATATGAATGTGTGGCCCAGAGTAGTGCAGGCATGGGACGAGCTCTCACGCAACTCACTGTCAGAGGTACTGCATGGATACACACATTTTACATACTTTTTTCCATACTCAATACAGTCTTGCACTCACACGCACATTTTCAGTTTTGGACCATTGTACACCTCTAGATTTTTGTAACTTTACGAGCACAGTGTCTTTGCAGCACAGTCGCCACGCTGTAAAAAAATCCTTATTTGTATATTATTATTTGTTTTCCAGTAAAAATATCTAAAAGTCCTTAAAACAAGACACATACATTTCAGAATCAACGTTATATAAGATAATAAAACTTTTTGTTTATATAAACGATTAACATTTTTTAATCGTGATTAATCGCACGACTTTCTGCGATTAATCACGATTAATCACATTGTTATGCACAAAATTCAATAATGAATTCAAAAGTAGTGTATTGTGTATCGCATCATATGACCCCTTTAACAAAACGATGCACTCCACTGTGCTGAGCGAAAGCACTTCTCTGCTGTCTTCACGTGCTATCGGAAATTTCCTGTTTCCCACTTATGAAGTCATGATTACGAGCATGTTGCATTCTTTTCTATTAAAAATAACAGTGAACAGTGGTTTGTGAATGTTGATGCTTAGCCTAAATAATTTTATCGGGAGCGCTCATGTGAGCGCTGCTGCAGGCCCACTCCAAATGCTCTCATTGGATGAGGCGTGTGATGACACCCATCCCTAGGGATGGCTGACGCGAAACTGACATTTCGACACGGTGTCGAGATCCCGAAGCGCAGATGTTTCGAAACACTGCTCCGAAGTATGATTCGAAACACCCATGTCACGTGACTAAGGCGAATCAAAGCATCGGGGCGTTTCACAAGTGTTTCAAGATCCGAATGTGCTATTGATCGACAGGGTCAGGAATGAACAAACCACACAATCGCACATCTGTCTTAACCTAACTCCCGCAAAGTATAAAAGTGGAGTTAATGCAGCAGAACAATTAATATATTTCAATAAAAATCTTTATATGTAAAAAATGCCAGGCGTTGTGGCTTGATGTCTTTTATTAATGTTAATTTGTTCATGACCAAAATAACATATTTACAAAGAGTTCATTCAGTTGTCAGAGAGATGTTACAACACATTACAAGAACAGAACAATAAAAACACGACTTTCAAATATTTATTATAATTATATACATGCTTCACCTGGGTTTCAAACCTAAAGTAGGTACGTTTACATGGACACTTTTTGCTTCCATCGTAAATGAATTAATTCTGATTGACGAATCCGAACGTAGTGTTTACATGAACACTAAATAAAGTGATAGGGGTGATATGCGTGTTTAAATGTTACAAGCTTCTGATCGGATTTAATCTTTTGACATGCGCACACTGCATGAATATATGGTTTTATAATAACGGGACACTCATTTATGACACTTTATTCACCAGGAAGAACAGCTCGTTCCACGTCATACATCACTACGCTATTTCTATGTCACTGCGCATGTGCAGTACTTTCCAGTTTCGGTTTTCAATCCGATCAAGTGTTGTCCTCTCACTCGGATTACAAAAGAAATAAACCACCCCTTACAATCCGATCGAAATTTTAGTCAGATCTGGCCAATTCAATCCGATTGACGTGTTTACTTGTGACTTTTTTATTCTGATTGTGCTAATAGTCCTATTACGATCGGATTAGTAGGGTCCATGTAAACGCAGCTAGTGACTGACACTATGCCAATGCTGGTTCTGACAACATGCCAATCGTGCACACTAACCACTCCCCCAACCCACATGGCGGAATGACGAGCACAACATATATGTTATAATTCGTCAATTCGCTTAACTGATTCATTTTCAATGCTGTTTCAGATCAATACTTGAAAATGACCACTAGGTGTCACCGTAGAGACGGGTGTCGAATTGTTTCGAAGCCTCGGCACATTTGCTTCGACTGTTTCAGTGTTTCATGAAGCCTCACTCTGGCCACCGCTACCCATCCCAAGCCAGTACTGATTAACATCCCACCCCTCCTGTGACCCATGGTTGTGAGCATCTGACTTTCAAAATAATAATAATAATAATAATAAAAATCTTTATATGTAAAAAATGCCAGGCGTTGTGGCTTGATGTCTTTTATTAATGTTAATTTGTTCATGACCAAAATAACATATTTACAAAGAGTTCATTCAGTTGTCAGAGAGATGTTACAACACATTACAAGAACAGAACAATAAAAACACGACTTTCAAATATTTATTATAATTATATACATGCTTCACCTGGGTTTCAAACCTAAAGTAGGTACGTTTACATGGACACTTTTTGCTTCCATCGTAAATGAATTAATTCTGATTGACGAATCCGAACGTAGTGTTTACATGAACACTAAATAAAGTGATAGGGGTGATATGCGTGTTTAAATGTTACAAGCTTCTGATCGGATTTAATCTTTTGACATGCGCACACTGCATGAATATATGGTTTTATAATAACGGGACACTCATTTATGACACTTTATTCACCAGGAAGAACAGCTCGTTCCACGTCATACATCACTACGCTATTTCTATGTCACTGCGCATGTGCAGTACTTTCCAGTTTCGGTTTTCAATCCGATCAAGTGTTGTCCTCTCACTCGGATTACAAAAGAAATAAACCACCCCTTACAATCCGATCGAAATTTTAGTCAGATCTGGCCAATTCAATCCGATTGACGTGTTTACTTGTGACTTTTTTATTCTGATTGTGCTAATAGTCCTATTACGATCGGATTAGTAGGGTCCATGTAAACGCAGCTAGTGACTGACACTATGCCAATGCTGGTTCTGACAACATGCCAATCGTGCACACTAACCACTCCCCCAACCCACATGGCGGAATGACGAGCACAACATATATGTTATAATTCGTCAATTCGCTTAACTGATTCATTTTCAATGCTGTTTCAGATCAATACTTGAAAATGACCACTAGGTGTCACCGTAGAGACGGGTGTCGAATTGTTTCGAAGCCTCGGCACATTTGCTTCGACTGTTTCAGTGTTTCATGAAGCCTCACTCTGGCCACCGCTACCCATCCCAAGCCAGTACTGATTAACATCCCACCCCTCCTGTGACCCATGGTTGTGAGCATCTGACTTTCAAAATAATAATAATAATAATAAAAAACGGTGTTAATTCGCGATTAAATAATTGTTGGCAAAATATATTAAATACATATGTTAAATATTAAATATATTAAATAAGTATGAAATATTAAATAATAAAATAACTGAAAATGTAGGCGTTTGCAACCAGAGTAGAAGTTAGAGTATATACTAGTGAATTTGTTGTTTTGTGCACTTTTTGTATATGATCAAGAAAAGCAATTTACATTGACACATCCAGGAAAAAAATAAAACATAATGTTCACTTGAACCATGTAAAAAAAAAATTCTGGCTAGGTTAATGTGAAATTCAGCTAATGTAAAAATATTACTTGCTGGTTCAGCTAATATTTTCTGCATGCTGCCTTCTGTTGTTGCAGAGAATAGTTAAGCGTGGAACATATCAAGTATAAATGCCTCTTGAGTGTCGTGAACTGTGCACACAATGTGCAGAGGGTCATGTGAAAATATAAACAAGGCTTCAGCTTGCTAAGGAGGGTGTAATCTCCAGAATTAAAGGAAACTCTAAATGAGAAAAGCTTTTTGCAATGTAATTGTAAGTCTTGTATTTGACTGCTATGACAACATTAAACTGAGAGATTTGCTGCCTCACATACTGTAGTCTTTTTATAAGCATGTCATCATCATTTCTCTTAATGCAGAGCCCCCTCCTGTTCTGCATCCTCCCGTGAATGTGACGTCATTCCCGGGGACAGTGGCAGTGCTGTCCTGTCAGGTTCAAGGCTCTGTGCGGCACAACCTGACCTGGTATCGGACCGGCACCGCTTTATCATCCCGCTCAGGAAGGGTGAAAGTACTGGCCAATTCCTCTTTGGAGATCAGTTGGGTTCGCAGCCAGGACACCGGACCCTACCAGTGCAGAGCCACAAACGCCCACGGAGAGAGCCAGGCTGTCGTATGGCTGGTGGTCCTAGGTATTCTGCAGCACCTGGTCAAACACTCAGCTCCTGCGGCCTCTCGAGGCCTACCGTCATGTGTTTTCCATTAAAACCCTCCAAACCACAGCGCAACTTCTACACAGCCAGCAAGATTGAGCCCTGCATGTTTCAAATAAGGAAGATTAATGTGATCTTAGATTGGCGGGTCCTTTTGGAGACAAATAGCCAAACAAATCGATAAAGTGTATCTCACTGTGAGCAACTTTCAACATGTGCAGTTAGACTTCCACCATTATTATACTATTATAGTGTGTGGAGTTTTCATCATCCATTTTGCCATGCCTACAGACTCAAAGGTTTTGTGCCAAGTAATGTGTAGGAATAGTTCACTAAAGTTACTCACCCTCATGTCATTCCAAATATGTGTGCTGTTATTTTTCAAAACAACAAAAATAGTAAGTG